AAATTTCCTGGCAGTTAGAACAATTAATCAGTGGAACAGCTTGCCTCCAGAAGTTGTGAATGCCCCAACAGTGCAAGTCTTTAAGAAGATGTTGGATGGACATCTGTCTGAAATGGTGTATGGTTTCCTGCCTAGGCAGGGGGTTGGACTAGAAGACCTTCAAGGTCCCTTCCAACTCTGCTATTGTATTATATTACTTTCTACAATTTGTAATGGAAGATGTTTTTTTTATGTTTGTCTTTGTTCAAAAATAAATAAAAATTGAAAAAAAAATGAAGTATGGATGCATATAGATGCATTAAGATGATGAACAAAGTGAGGTGTGTGTTGCTTGTTATTTTACATATTAGTTCAATGGAATTGTAATAAACATTGTGCAGCAAGGATTGTTATTTAAAGACAATTAAATGTAAGCTAAATTAACATATGGAAAAATGGAAGAGGAACATGAAATATACTTATAATGACATTATAAAGACAAATTAAAAATTTGGGGTGGGTAATGTTGTATAAATATACAATATTATGATGAGAATGGCTGGGAATTGTAATCAGGTCCACATCCGGGCAAAAATAAGTTGTGGTCGGAGGGGGTTAAAAATACCATTGCTATATATGTATACTTTTTTCTTCATTTTTTTTAAAAATGTTAAAATTGAAGATGTTTGTTGAAATGAAATTATAAATACCATCAACATAAAATGGAGCTTGCTCAGAGACTGAAATACACCAAGTAAATGAGATGAAGAGTGTGGAAGAGAGGAGAGAAGTAAGGGAAGAAGAGAGGATAAGAAGAGAGGGTAGGGGGGAAGAGGAGGGGAGAAAGGAAGAGTGGAAAGGGGAGAGAGGAAGAGGAAGTAGAGAAGAGAAGGATGACAGAGGGAAAAAGGGAGGTAAGAGGAGGAGGAGAGAAGGAGGAGAAAATGATAGATAGGATACAAATATGGTGTATGGGGAGCAGAGGAGCCAATAATTGTTTGATGATAAGACAAAGTGATGTTAATATTTAATAATACAAAATAATGTTGATTATGTAACAGTATACATTTGGTTATTTGTTATGAAAATGAAAAAAAAATAAAAAACTTTATAAAAAATAGTTAATCTGTGGTGTCACCTAGAGTTACCTTGTAGTAAATATTTCTAGTTTTCCTGTTGGAAAGTTATGAAGACTTTCCCTTTCCTTCACAAAATTTGTACACTTGGGACAGATTGGTATTTGGACAGCTACAATTATTGAAATCACAGTGATTTACTTTAGTGTTTGCAATGTCCCTGTAGATTAACAACATTACTTGCAAATGCAAGTATGTTGAATTATGCGGATTCATTACAGTGATTATTTGGCTTTAACATACAATTTAAGAATTTCAAAATTACAACTGCAGCAATAGAACTGAAGCCTGTTATAGATCTAATATTTATTAGATGGATTTAGAGAAATGAAGATCATTTTGAACAGGATGACAATTAAACGGTACTCCTATTGAACAGCCTACAGCTAAAATATAATGTCTAAAAGTTAAAGTACTATAAAATATTGGTACATTGATACCTTTATCTTTCCCTGTTAAATCTTTTTAACAGTAAAAATTTGGATATTAACTATAACTAGTTAAATATATATTGCTTGTTCACATAATGAATATGCTTCTGTTTCTGTTGGTACTGTTACCATCTGATACTATCTCCAGGAATCTAACAATTAGTTATCATGCAAACAATCACCTTCCTGAATATTACTTGATGGGGGACTATATTTTTGGTGGGATTTTTTCTTTGCATTCTGCTTTTTATGGTCAGGGAACATTTGAAAAACCTCCTTTGTTCTTTAATTTGATTACAAAGAGGTAAGGTTTGTTATCATTTCTTTTCCTTTTATAAAATTTGAAACTTTTCCCTTTGAGCAAGCAATTTTAAATACTTAGAACCAGTCATAAATACATAGTTTCAAGTCATAATAGTTTTCATAAGCATGGCATTTTTTGAAACTGTATTTTCCAGTGATACATTGTACGATTAGTTGACTGTCTCTCAAACTGACCTAATTTCAGCATAAAGAATAAGCAGCTCAAATTAAACTGAACAATCTTCAGTCAATTGAGCACAAAGCTACTATTGCAGAAGAGTTTAGTCTTCAAAATGAATTCTCAAATGGATTCTCATTATACAGCTTTCAGGATATTGGTTTTAGCTCACAAGATTAGTAATTATAATAACATTATTCTAATAATAATCAAAACGAAGCAACATAGATATAGCAAGTGTAATTATCTGCAGAGTTTTCTGGGTATAGCACTTGCATAACTGTGATGTTAGATACTTAATGTCAAACAACCAATCCTTATGCATTTCCAAACCTTGGCATAACTTAGTTATAATGAAAATATATACGTTGTATCTCCTCAAAATGATTTCCAACAATGCCAGGTTTAGAAAGTCATTATATGGAATGCTTCATTTCTAATGAAGTCAAAATAATAGCAGATATATAATTGCCAAATTATAACTCAATTGGTGTTTATTGTATTACATTGTTCATTTTTTTGTGTCTTTTCTCCTTTCCAAACTGATTTTTCCACCCTCCGCTACTTATGTTTTAACAAGTTCACAAACACTCATTAATTTCCAAAGCCTTTCAGGCTTTCAACAAAATCCTATAGAAAAGAAATAGTTGCCTTTTTATTTCACTTCTTAGATGTTTCCCAACTGTTCTGAAATTAAGGTATTTGCTTACATTTGAATCTGAATCAAATATAAGCTGATTGCCACCAAGGAATTCTATCAAGTGATATATAATAGCAATATTGTCATCTGTCAGTTTTTATTAATAAAATTATTACATTCTACTTTCATAAGATCATAATGTGATTAAACTTTCAGAATACACCCAAAGAATTATCAGCATGTCTTGGCTGCTGTGTTTGCTGTTCATGAGATCAACAAGGATCCTATGCTTCTATCAAATATCACTCTGGGTTTCCGAATAGTTGATAACTATTACATGGGAATTATGACTTATCTGTATACATTGCAACTGCTTACTACACAAGAAAGAGGAATCTATAATTATATATGTGATGCACAACTCTTGGCCATAGTTGGGGGACTTGACTCTGAAAATTCTATCCAAATTTCAAATATTGTAGGCGTTTACAAGATACCACAGGTATAACTACTTTGAAAGATAAGTTGTGTTTACATTCAATGAATATTCAGCTGACAGATGATACTACATAACATTTTAATTAGATTAGCATTGGAGGAGGAAGTGTCTTTGGTACTCTGTCAGCCTGCTTATTTTGTTACAGACATTTCATAACCCAGCTAGGCAACATCATCAGTGCCAATAGATTAACAGCACTTTCTTCTTACACATTCTCTTCTCTGAGCCTTATAGTGATATATCTCACAAAGATATAAACAACAGATGTAAATATATATAAATTTATTTTTTTCAATATTAAAAGTGACCATTAACCAGCATAATTGATTTTTATCTATGTCTTGATTGACATTAATAATGTCCATAATGCTATCCACAATTAAATGGATTTTTATTTTTACTGTGACAACGTATTTCACAATATATCTTACAAATATAGAAATGACAGTGATGAAATGTTATTCATTTATTTTACAAATGATTGTATTTAATATTTAGTTTAATATTTAGTTTAATATTTAGCTTAATATTTAGCTTTAATATTTTATTTAATTGAGTAAATGTTATAGTGAAGAAAGTACTTAGAATTGTCACTAATACTTCTTAGATGTCTCATGTATTTTTCTCTAGATCAGTTATGGTTCTTTTGATGCTGTGCTGAGTGATAAAATCCGGTTCCCATTCTTCTACAGGATGATCCCTAATGAATCATTACAATTTAAAGGAATAATTCAGTTACTTCTTCATTTCTCATGGAAGTGGATAGGTATAATGGCACCAGATAATAATGGGGGAGAAAAGTTTTTGAGGTTCCTAACTATAATGCTCTCAAAGCATGATATTTGTGTGTCATTTACTCAGACTTTGGCAACAAAAACTGCCTCTGAAACAGAAATTAAAACTGAATTTGATAAAATTGAGACTATATATTCTCAAACCAGTGCCAATGTGGTAGTTGCAAGTGGAGATTCCCGGGACCTCCTCATGTTCACAATATGGATGGATTGTAATGCCTATTATAAAGAAATACCTTTTGTAACGAAGGTTTTGATCATGACTGCTCAGTGGGATTTTACTGCTGTCAATTCCAAAGGGCTCTGGTTTCTGAAACCTTTCCATGGTGCTTTGTCTTTTACAATTCACACAAACAATGTGCCGGGATTCCAGGATTTCCTTGATACGCTGGATTGCCTTTATCCTAAAGGTGATATCTTCATTCAGGAATTTTGTCTCTCTGCCTTTAAACAGGGGTACTATAATGATGATATGAATTCTGTCAAATATGAAATAAACGGCAGAGGAAAAGGAAAAATGAAGTCGCTGCCTGGAGCTGTTTTTGAAAGGGTCTTGTCAGGCCAAAGTTACAGTACCTATAATTCTGTACATATACTAGCCCAAGCTTTCAATGCAATATATTCCTATGGTTCCAAGTACAGACATCTGAAAAAATGGGGTGAATCAAGTTTTCTGAACATGCAACAGTGGCAGGTATTTTCTCCAATACTGAAATTGATGTTATGAAACAAAAGAGCCAGTGAAATTATGTATGCACACACACCAAAATATTGTGTATTCTAAGGAAAAGCATATGAAATAAGTGCATTTTTGGAAAAGATAGAATAGGTAAGTCATTCTTTAATCATTTTTATTCTTCAAAGTACTGAAATTTTACAATTTTACAATTGTTGTTAAAAAAAGCAGTTAGCCCGACGCAATTATCNCACACACACACACACACACACACACACAAACACACACACACACACACACACACGGAGGTAATTTAAATCTTGGAATATTTCCTAGTTCAGGAGTCATGTGAGAGTTTCTTTACTTAGAAAACAAATGGCTAATTGGCTGTCTGGAGAAATGATTATATTTATCTTGTTTACTTTTTAACTATAATTAAACTTCTTACTTGAAATCCTATTTCTTCATTTCATTAGACATTTTGGATATCAATCAGAGTAAACATATTTTTTAAAAAGGCAAATAATTCTTACATAATTATAATTGTTTAAAACACATTCAGATATAATCCAGGATCAATATAGAATTAGGACAAGTGTAAATAATTCTCAGTTTTCATAACCGATTTTTTTTTGTTATTTCTCCCCTAATATCAGCAACAAGAAGTGATTACTATGCCATTGTAAACATGATCTTACATAATCGAATGCCATGGATGTAAAAGGAAGTGAAGACATAAAATATTTACTTCTTATTACACAGTAAGGTTGCATCAATTAAAAAGAATATTTGTAGCTCAAGGTTGAAATGAGGGGTTTTTGGTGCTCCCTTAGCTTGGTTTTTTTTCTTTTTGTTTGCAGACATTTCATTCCCCAAACTAGGTAACATCATCAATACACAAGTTTGAGAAATTAAACTCCTGAAAGAAAACAACCAACCTCAGAGAGCACCAAAGATCCCACAGTAAGGTTGCCATACGAAAATAGACCTCAGGATTCACTTTCTGAATGGCTGTCATAAGATACTTTTGCTTTTTGCAGAGGACAGTTGTAACTAGGAATGAATCTGTCCCTTGTGGAAAGAAGCTCTATTAAACTGATAAATCCAACTCTCACTAAAATGGCTGTTATTGATCTGAAAGTCCAGAGAAATATTTCATAAAATTTCAGAACTTTACTGATTTCTATGACGTGCTGTTGTGCTGGGACATGTGATAGTTGTGAGGTAATACCTTGAAACAAAAATGCCATGCATTATCTATTTCAGAATAATATGATAATATATAGTATATTCAAAGAAAGAAATGAAGAGAGGGAGAAAGGGAGGAAAGGGGCAGAAATATAGCATATATTTCTAACGAACATTATAAATACTTTATTTAGGGAGTAGCAAAGTCATTCTAAAATCCTTAGCTGGCCTTTCCTTCCCCCTTTATTTCCAGTTAAGTGTTTCAGTTAAAATTGAAATATTATAGATTGATATGTAAATAAGCTTGCACTGATAAAGAGAAAGCACATTTTTCTGGAAGGAGAAAAAGAAACCCTATTTATACAAACATGTTGTCAGAGAATATTGCAATATAGATTAAACTTTAAATTCCGGTTCTCTGAACAATAGCGGCTATAATAGTTTCAGAGTGTCCTGGATGAAACAAATGATATGGACCCCTTTCAGTCTGGATTTCAAGCCTGATTATAGGATGGAAATGACATTGAATACACCTGTTGATGATCTCTGGCAAGAGTAGAATGGGGATAGTGCAACCATTGCTTCTCTCCTTGACCTTTCAGCAGTCCTTGATGTCATTCTTTTGAGCTGGCTATGGGATATGGGGTTGGGCAGCACAGTCTTGCTCTGGTTCAACATCTTTCTCCAAGGATGGCCCCAATTGATGTTAATAAGAAGTGAGATATTCAGCCTTTAGGTGCTATTTTATGGCATGCCATGGGGCTTACAACTCTCCCCACTCCTCTTTAACATCGACAGGAAGCTACTGGTAAGATCATCCATCACCATGCATTGAAATATCATCAGTATACTGATGATACTCAGATCTATATCTTCACCGCCTGTAGTCTAAGTGATTAGACTGCCCTCTTGTAGTACCTGGAGGTTGTGGAGTCCTGGATGGAGGACAACATGTTTTGGTTGAACCATGGCAAGACAGGGTGGCTTTGGGTGCATGATTTTAGCACTGTTAGTTCTGGATGGGATGGCATTACTCTAGACAGACCTGGTCACAACTTGGGGGTTCTCCTGGATTCATTACTCCTGCTCAAAGAGCAAGTAGCAGTCATTGGAAGATTGTTGTATTCATGACAAAAGAAAAGTATAGTTACCATACTAGTTAAGAAAAGTCACTAATACATATATGCTTTCATACTTGCATTTATACAGGTATCTCTGAATTCTTTCCAACATTCTATATGACACTTTAAGGGAGTCAAGTGGAAAACAGCACAGCAGATCACAAACACTGTACTTACCAAGATATTCTCCTTTATTTATTTTAGTCCCTCTGCATCAAGTCATTTCAAGGGGAAATAAACAACACATTAATTGCTCTTCTTGGAATAAATCATTTGTTCAATGCAGTGCTAAAAAAAATCATCTACAAAGGGAATATAAATATAATAGCTTTTTCCCCCAGTGCCCAAGAAAAAATAAGCCATAAATATTTTAGAAAATACTGTGTGGGAGAGAGGGGGGGATTTGAAAGTGACAGTGGACAGCTCAATGAAAAATTTGAAGCTTAAGTGTATCTACTAATTAAAAAGTGAGTTCCATTTTCAAAATGGAAAGCAAACTCACAACAGAACCATATTTTGATTATCTTAAATGTTGTGAGACCATGCATTGATTATTGTGGATAATTCTAGCAACAGTCTATTAACAGTCTACTAACTATCCTGTGATAGTTGGGAATCTTTAAGATGATATTTTCCATTGACCCAATTGTTTCTGAATGAGCTATTTAGCCCTTCAGCTAGTAAGACAATATCGGTTTAGAATATATAATTTATTGCCCTACCTAGTCTTTGTATATCAAATGCCAAATAATGTAGTTCTTTTGATTATGATATGGATAGCATAGTCAGTAGACAATCTGCCAGACATCACTAGTTGCAGCTTCTAGAAACTCCTAAATTATACAAATTTCATGTATGTTATATTACAATAGTTAATCGGTGGTGAATGGGCGGGAATATATCTGGGAGACAGAGAGAAACAATGTGGTTCTAAAGAGCCACAAATAAATTATGTCTGACAAACGAATGCCTTTTGGATCAGAACTTCACTGTGGGGGGAGTGAAGAGGGAGCTGTGTCTCATTAGACCTAGAGGAATGTAGCAGGTTCATCATAGGTAGTTCTTTGTATTGGCATCAGGGGAGGCAGCATAGCAACATGGCTACCATCAAGCTGAGGGCTGCTAGCCAAAGCATCTAAGCAGGAGTGGTGTACAAAAATATGAAACCTGATAAGAAGATTTAATTAACCAACTGACATAAATCAGAATTTGGAAAAGGCAAAGAACCTTGTGAGTATAAATAATATTAATTATTGGGATTTGGCAGAAAGAAAAGAAAGAAGGGGAAAATAATGGCAGTTAAAAATAATTAAGCCGAAAAAGAACTGCTTGTTTTAAACAACTTGGTGACAGAAATGAGGAATACAGAGAATTGACTAACCCATTAAAACACAAACTTTGAGTTTGGACTTGAAAAGATTATGTCTTTAAAAGAGATTAATTGACAATGGAGAACTCTATAAACGAATAGAAGACAAAAGTTAAAAAAATACCAAGGAGATTTGCTTTGTTCAGGTTTTGTCCTAATTAACATATCTTAAACAACTATTTTCTTCCTTATAATCCAATCTTGTCTGAGCAATGATTGGAATGTAAAGCTTGGAAAGAAGACTTAATTAACCAACTGACATAAATCAGAATTTGGAAAAGCAGGAGGAGGAGGAGAAATGAAAATTAAAAGCATATCAAGGAGACTTGCTTTGTCTGAGTCTGTCCAAGTTTGTTCTAATTAAAAAATATTTTAAGCAAATATATTTTAATCATAAAACATATTCTAATCAATTAAAGGTGGAATGTAACAAGGAAAAAAATTAAGAAAAAGCACTAGCCTGGATTTAAAACTGGATTTAAAATATCAAGCTGTATTGCTGGAAACTTGGTGAACCATTTGTCGAAGGAAAGAATAAAGAAAGCAAAGTGATTAAAATGTTTCCCCCTTCTCTTCCTCTCCATGTTAGCTGAACCAAAATATATAGCTGGATCAGAGCCTCTCTGTTTTAACGGAACTAAAATATAAGTTGGACCGGAAAATTTGGAACTTAAATTATAATTAACTGTATAATTAACTGTAACTTTGGAACTGGACATTATGGAAAGGTGGGAATTTGAAGAACTGCATGAAATTATTAAAAATATGCATAAATCATTAAAATTAAGTTTAAACAGAATTTTGAAGCCAGAATCTGAGAAGCAGGAAATGAAGGAAGAATAGGGGGAAGGTAATGAAATTGTAGAAATAGTGGGAAATAAAAAGCAAATAAAAGATTTCACTTGACAGTGACATAGGAAAAACTGAAGAGGGGGGATATATCCTAACAAAGAAAAGGAAGGTGACAGGAATAGAGAATTGGGGCAAAAGAATTATTAGGGGAAAATCAGATATTTAGAAATTGTTATGTGGAAAATATAAAGTTGAGGCATGTGATTTACTCTTTTTACATGATAATTAAACTGAGTTGCTAACTGATTGAACAGGATAATGGAAAGATAATTAAATAAAGGTTAAAATATATGAAATATTATTCTACACAATAATTAAACTGAGTTATTAAGCGATTGAATATGATAATGGAAAGACAATTAAATATGGGTTAAAATATATGAAGTATGGACAGGGGCTGACGTCACGATGGCATGACATGCCATCTTGGTGCTCTGAGATCGCAGTCGATATTTCTGCCGCTGGATAGTCCATTCAGACCTAAACCG